GAGGTCACATATAGTTCCTTGTAATTGGTTCCCTCCTTCCTACCCACTCTCCCTCTACCCTCCCAGTATGGCCATTCACACCACTGGTCCTGTAGGGATCATCTGCCCTGGATTCTCTATATTTCCAGTTCCTATCTGCACCAGTGTACATCCTCTGGTCTAGCCAGACTTGCAAGGCAGAATTCATGTCATGATAGTAGGAGCGGGGAGGAAACATTTAGGAACTAGAGGAAAGTTGTGTTTTTCAGAATGATGAAAATTGAAAGCCATCTGGAAACAGTCCATTGAACTAATGGACTTGGAAGCTGGAATTACTTCATGGTGCCTGACTACTAGTACCAAGTAGTCTTATAAACATCACATTGAAATGTCTTGAGGCTGGAGCATGCGGGAATGGAGCTAAGGAAATGTGAAACAAACCCCCAATGATAAAAAAAAGACTAGGTTTACTGATCTGATAAAAAACTGGTGGGGAACAGACTATGGTCTTTCATTATCTTTCAAATCTAGAACTAAATTCGTCCTCCTGGACCATTTAAGACCAAAAGGGCAGCATATACCCAAGGATAAACACAGGATTGGGAAAGAAGATAGGATGGAAACAGGCAGAGAAAGTAGGATAAAGCTTGGTGTACTGAGGGGTTATGATGGATGAGTTGAAACAATGTGTATAAATTGCTGAACATGAAACTATGATCTGTATAACTTTATGTAATTCACAATAAAAAGTTAAAATATATTTTTGTCCAATGCAAAAAAAGGATAAAAAATTATTTACCTAAGGACCTAGTGCTGCAGAGGGTTAGGAAGGAAGGCTAGGAGGAAGGATGGAAACTTAGGGAGGAAGTGGGATTAAGTGATGTCCCAAGCATAGGAACAACGTTGAGAGCTTGGTATAGGAACAATTGTGAGGCTGGAGCAGGACCTCGAGGTGTGTCGTTCTGTGTGCCTATGGTTGCTATGGGTCGAAACCAACTCAGTGGTGCCCAATAGCAGCAACAACATACTGCAATGAATGAGTGTAAACAAGACGTGTATAAATTGTTGGATGTAAAATGGATGATCTGTTTTATAAACCTTCATTAATTTGCAATTAAAAACTTTTTTAAAAACTTCTTTCTCATACCAGAAGTATTAAAATATGAGAGGATAATGGAAAATCATTTTGCAAACCATAAAGCAGTGTGCTGTGTTCTTAGTAACTCTTCTTCTTGTGTACTCATTCATTTTATAAAGGCTTACCATTTTTTATGAATTCTGGGAACAGAAATTACTAAGATATGGCTTTACAGGTGCTTAGGAAAGAAGACAGACAGAACTCATGATTATAGCATATTGTTTTAAAATATATGATCAAGGTTAACAAACTTCTTTGGATGCTCTGAGATGGGCTGTAACTTGACCAAGAATGAAAATGTTGGACAAAAACACATTTTGGACTGAGTGGCCTCTGGTCTGAAGTCTGAAGGAGGTTTGTAAACCAACCCAGTGAAATGGGGGGAAGGAAGGAATGTGCACAGAAGATACATGTTCATCTTCCTGCCTTGCAAAGGCAGTGCAAATCAAACTTTAAGGACTGAGCCAGCCAATGGAGTCACCTGGTCTTCGTTGTCAGGCCCTCAGAGTTAAGAGCACCCTGGTTGGGAGGAATAGAGGAGTGCACTCTTAAACTTCTAAGCACAGAGGAACCAGCAGATTTCTTTTCTGGATCAGAGTGATACTTTTTGAACAAGAGTGCTTCCCAAGAACCTGTGTTTTATCTTTTAAATGTTATCTCAAAAGACTTATTCTGATCATCAGAAGACTTACTCTGGTATAGATTGTAGAGGTTCATTATCGGTGCCACCATGCTAAGTATTTTTGTGTTGTATGTTTTATATAATGTAATGAGCCATTACAATTAGATTTTGAAAACAGAATCCACCATTGTGATCCTTTAACCAAAACTTTAAGCTGCCAAACTTAGTGGGATCATTTCTCATTCCTGTAGTTTATCCATGCCCACTGTTCAGTGTCAGATTTCGGAAGCCTTTATTTGGAGAGACGGGGCATACCATCATGAATCTCCTTGCAGTAAGTTGGAAGTTTTCTTTTTTTTACTAGGGTTTGTGTGGGAGAAGTATAACAAGATTCTTACTAATTTGTTGGTAGCCATTCCCGTAATGTTTAGGTAGGTAAAGATTTATGCTGGAGGAAAAGTTAAGAGCATGTGTGTGTGTGTGTGTGTGTGTGTGTGTGTGTGTGTGTGTGTATACACACACTTTGGAAAGTATGAAACTGGAGTGAATTAGTTCATGATTCCAAGCCCTTATCATACATTTGTTATAAAAGTGACCTTTCTTGAACAATTATTGTGAAGACTAGAGGTAATGTATAATTGAAACACTTGCATTTTTTTTGTTTTACTTTAAGTTTGGCATACTAGAAGTATCCTCTATGTCTACCTAGCTTACTGTATAGCCAAAAATTGGTCAGAGATTGTGCTCAAATACCTTGAGCCAGTAAGGTTTCCATTTCTGCTACATGTGGGCTGGGAGTCGTACTTTCCTTTCCTCCTGGGCTTCTCTCTGTGTTGGTGTAGGCTCTGACCCTGTTGCTCAAGAACAAGTGGTAGGTTGGCCCCATTAGATGCACACAACCTACTATCAGTCATGAATATTTGAAGAGTATATTGAGCTTTCTGTGACTGCTCACACCAGAACTTCTTATTAAATCTCTGGCTGATCTACATATTCATTGCTCAATCCAAGAGACCATTTACCTTTACAAGCCACTGAGATCACTACTGTAACCAACAATCCTGCAAAACCAATTGAGCTCCGAGTAATAAAGCTCTCCTGATTGAACTACCAGGGGAATATGGAGCTAAGGCATCATCAGGCAACATCACAGAATCAAATCAAATATTCTTACCTGATATTCAGAAGTTTCATGAGTGTTCTCTTCTTGGTGTGTTGTATACTCTTGGTCTAATTTCAGAGTACTGAAATAGTTGTTTTCAAAAACTTTTTCATTGCTTTTCGGGAATGGCTTCATTGATTGCCTCACTCCATCATACTGGAAGCTGTAGTTCCAGTTATCTTATAAAATCAATCAAAGAAAACTTGTAGACTTACCCATGTAATTATTTCTGGTGTCTTCATTTCTTTTTGTGTTATTGACATTTCTACTTTCTGTCATTTTTCCTTCTTAGTGAAGACTTTCCTGTATCATTTCTTGTAGTATACATCTGCTAGTAGTAAGTTATTTAAGTTTTTATATTTCTAATATCTTTATTTTACCTTCATGTTTCAAAGATGTCATTGTTAGGTGCCATCAAGTTTGTTCTAACTCATAGCCACCCTGTGTACAACAAAGCACTGTCTCATCATATACCATCTTCACAATTGTTATGCTTCACCCCCTTGTTGCAGCCACTGTCAATCCATCTTGTTGAGGGTCGTACTCTTTTTCGCCTCGCTTCCACTTTATGTTAGCTTTTTCCAGGGACTAGTCTCCTGACATTTCCAAAGCATGTGAGTCCAAGATTGATTTATTTGTTCTTTTGCAAGTGCATGATGCTTTAAATATTCTTTGCCAGTCTCAATTCGAATGCATCAATTCTCTTCAATCTTCCTTATTCAATGTCCAACTTTCACATGAGTATCAAGTGAAAATACCATGGCTTGGATCAAGCGTACGTTAGTCCTCAAAAGTGGAATGCATGCTCTTTAATACTTATCAGCAGATTTTCCAGTGCAACGCAGCATTTGTTTTCTTGACTGCTGCTCCCATGACCACTGATTGTGAATCTAAGCAAGATGTCCTTGACAACTGCAATCTATTTTCCTTTTATCATGATGTTTCCTATTGGTCTAGTGGTGAGGATTTAGTTTTCTTTACATTGAGGTGTAATTTATATTGAAGGCTGTGAACCTTGATCTTCATGAGGAAGTGCTTCGTGTCTGCTTCAACCTTCAGTAAGCACGGTTGTGTCATCTGCATATTGCAGGTTGTTAATAAGTCTTCCTTCAAACCTGAAGCCACATTCTTCTTCAAGGAGTTCTGCTTCTCGGATTATTTGCTCAGAATACAGATTGAATAAGTATGGTCTACGACCATACTACCCTGAACACGCCCTATATGTCAGGTTGGATAAGTATGGTGAAAGACTACAACTGTGGTGCACTTCTTTCCTGACTGTACGCCACGCGTTATTCCCCTTTTCTGTTTGAACAGTTGCCTTTTGATCCATGTATCGGTTCTTCATTAGCACAAAGAAATGTTCTGGAATACCCATTCTTCTCAAAGCTATCCATAGTTTGTTATGATCCTCACAGTCAAATAACTTTAAAACATTCAATAATGCATAAGTAAACATATTTCTGATATTCTCTGCTTTCAGCTAGTACCCATCTGATGTTAGCAATGATATCTCTTGTTCCAAGTCCTCTTCTGAAACTGGGTTGAATATTTGGCCACTTGTCAAAATATGTCAACAATTATTGAATGATTTTCAGTAAAATTTTACTTGCATGTAACATTAATGATAATGATCAACAATGTCATGCATATTGTTCAGTCTTCTTTCTTTGGAATTAGTATAAATATGGATCTCTTCTAGTCAGTTGTCCAAGGAGCTGTCAAGTAGCATAGACCATTGAGTGCTTCTAGTGTTTTATCAGCTTGTTGATACATTTCAATTAGTATTCCATTAATTCCTGGAGTCTTGTTTTAGACCAATGCTTTTGGTGCATCTTGAACTTGTCTTCCATCAGTTCTTGATTATATACTTCCTCTTGAAACTGTTGAATGTAGACAGATTATTTTTGGTACATTGACTATGTATTTATTCCACCTTCTTTTGATGCTTCTTGCATGATTCAGTATTTTGCCCATCGAATTTAAAATTATTTTCCTCTTAATTTGAATAATATTTTCCTGCTTCTTTACATGGCTAATATTTTTTTTACTGGATACCAAACATTGTGATTTTATTCTGTTGGGTGCTAGATATGTTTATGTCCCTTTAAAAACCCTTAAGCTTTGTTGTAAGTAAGTACAGTTAAGTTACTTGATATCAAATTTTGCTTTTAAGATTTGTAAGGTGGGACTAAAGTTGGGTTTACTTTAGGGCTAATAGCTCCCTATTACTCAGTGCTTTCTTTACTCAGTACTCATGAATTATGATGTTTTTCCTGTTTTACTAACAGAGCTACCAGTAGCCTATTCAGGTCCATAAAGCATATTATCTTGGCTGACTATTTGTATGTTATCTTTTCTCCTTTTCTATTTTCAGCTGATTACCTAGTCCCTATTTCCCTGAGAAAATGAAAGTAATTAAAAAATAATTTTTATACAGTTTCACCCACTAATTTGCCAATAATTTTACATTTCTTCTCTTGGCTTCTAGGATACCATTCTCCCTTGGTTTCTCTTGTAGTGATTTGCTGCTTTCCTCTCCACCTCAAAATATATCAGTTCTCTTCGTCTAGTGTCCCAGGCCATAACATTTAGAGCCATCTTTGACTCTTGTTTTTCATATACATGCTACATTCAGTCCCATGACAAAAAGATGTTCTACTTTCAGACACTATCTATACTCTCATATCTTCTCACCACTTTCTGCACTGCTAACACGCTGGTCCAGATTCACTACCTCTTGCCTGGATTAATTTTATCATGTTTATCAGATCCCCCATCTTTTACCCCTGCTCTTTGAAAGTCTCTTCTTTAAAGAGAAGTGAAAACTCTGGAAAAAAGCCCAAACCTTCCTCAGAATAAAGTCAACGGCCTTACTTACCGTGCCTACAAAGCCCTATGAAATCTAGCCCAGCGCTGTCACTTAGACCTCAGTACCTACTACGCTTACTCATTTTGCTTCAGCCACACCGAGTGTGTGTTTTCCTCTCCAAATACTTATCAAGTGCCTGTGATAATCGAGCCCTAGTGTTGCTTTTGATTATTTGTTCAGCTACTAATTACAGGGTCAGCAGTTCAAACACACCAACCACTCCATGAGAGAAAGAAGAGGTTGTTTGCTCCTATAAACGTTAATAGTCTCAGGAACCCTTCGCTATAAGTTACAAGTGACTTGATGCCAGTGGTCTGGCTTGTGATATTCCAGGCTTTGGGATATAGCCCGAACAAAACAAGTAAGAATTCCTGCCCTCTTATAACTAATCTTAAAGGGGTAAAAGAGTAAACAGATAAATGGAATGTTAAATGTTGATAAATGCTACAAAGAAAAGTCAAGAAGCAGGGATATCCACATATTTGTTTACTATCAGTTTGTTTTATTTCCTTGAAAATTCTACAGTCTAATTGGAGATCTAGAATACATATAGTTGGGCTTTCATTATATATTTTTTTATTTAGATAGAATTTATCAATATTGACTTTCTGTTTTTCTAATTTCATTATGATAAAGCAAATCCTGCTATAAGTGAATATATTTACTCTGCATCCATTTGCTTTTGCTTAGGATTTCAGGAATTACCAATACACGTTACCAGTAGTTCAAGGTCTGGTGGTTGATATGGAAGTTCGGAAAACCAGCATCAAAATTCCCAGCAACAGGTACAATGAGGTAAGATTTATTATGAAAACATATATTTATTTATACTTTAGTTTCTACTAAAAGGTGGAAAATATATGATTACATATAAATTTTAATTTTAATTAATTGACACAATGCAGTTCTTAATATTGTATGGCTTAGTTCAATGCTGGGCAATTTAATTTCCAAAAGAAAAGATGCTGAATTTTTTATTTTTTTCAGTCATTGTTTATACTTTTGGCCAGTTGATGCTCTAATTAACAGTGATAGATTTGTATTTTAATTAAGTCTAAAAATAACTTGACATCTGTAATATTAATAGTGGATTTTTAAACTGTGTTTTCCTTTTATTGTAAATACTATCTCTGTCCTTAATGTTTAAGTGTACAGTTCACGTGAAGTAAGTCATGAAATAGCTTTTAAGTAAGGTTCCAAAAGCAAATGGCTGCCTCTAATTTAAACTATAATTTGTGACTAAAATCACACACACACATTACCAGCATTTTATAAACAATACTATTTGTTTATCTACCATGTTGGATTCAGAATGATCTCCAAGTCAGTTCTAAAATGTCTCATGCAATCACTGGTTTTCCTAAGTGCAATTTTAAAAAGACTTTATTAGAATAGTGGTTATAATTTATTATTTTATTAGACAAGGTGAAGTTTCTTGAAAAATTCTTCTATTTCTTAGCATAAAATAATTCCTTTTTCTTCATTCAGTCATTCTCTCTGATTCATTGATTTTTTTCATTCAATAAACATTTTGTACTGGGTAAGCACTTAAAAGCATTTAAATGTCTTCCTAAAATCCTGAACTCAGGACTCAGCATTATCAGGAGAATGACCTAAGAGAAGGTCATCTTCACCTATAGCTTTCTGTATGATCATTTCTTCAAGCATGTTATAAAATTGTGGCTAGAATATATGCTTAATTTTTCCTGGTGGAGTGGAGGAGGTGGAAGATCAATTTTTAGGTATTTTGTGTGTGAGTACCAGACTTTATAATTCACTGATTTCGAATACTGCCCCTTCCTAAACTCATCCTCATGTTTCCTCTTCCATGCCATGTACATTCTATTTGCTTCTACTTGGAATGTCTTTTCCATATGTCACTTATCTGTTCCTGAAAAGTAAATCAAATGCTCCTAATCCTAGAAAATGTCCACAATGCCTTAGCTTCAATTTTGTGTTATGTTAGCACTAATTTCTCCTGCAGAATTGTTATAAAGGAGTAAATGAAATGAAGTACTGTTGCCTATCATAATTCATTGATCCATGGTATATGTTAGTTCCCAACTCCTTTCTCAAAGGGCTGTATCTGAGTAACTCTATAGGAAGGAACAACCCAGAATGGTTAGGATACTGGAAATCATTTAGGAGTGAAAATACTGAATTAATTATAAGTTCATATAATTAACTATAAGTTAATATAACTGTAATTAAATATTGACTTGACTTAACTCTAAGTATTTAGTTTGACAAAAATCAAGAAAGTAAGGGTGCAGCTCCTATCAATATGTCTGCTTAGACTCTCTAATGCATTCAGATTCGTATGGTTATATGATTGTAGGTCATACTTGGCTGTGGGGTATTCATAAGGATATCGAAGACAAACTACAGCTTGCTCGCCATACATGTCAAGTGTGTGTCTCTTGTTGCAGTCCGTGCAGCAGTTCCCTTAGTGAAATGGCAGTTGTCTTTTTTGGCATTCTCAGTTCTTAGATGTTAGCAGATAGTTCTGTCAGACAGATACGAGAGCCGTCCTGAATCACAAGCCTTTTCTACAGGAAACAATATCTCATGTAACAACTTTCTAGGCATCAATTCCAGGGTGATTGTAGGGGACATGGCTGATTATGAAAATGACTACATTTAGGGAAGCCCAAAGTTATGTCTGTCAGGCATTTATAATTCTGACTGCTCAAATATAGCATATCAGCTTTGCAGCCAGCCGTACTGGAATAGGGACCAGTCCACCTTCGTGACTAAATAAGACTATATTGTTTTTTAAATGCACATAGTGGCAGTGTAGGATCCCTAAGAGAAGGTGAGGATTATGATTGCCCTGCCTTACTGCTTGCAGTTTCCAGGCCATAGCACAGGGAAGAGGAACCAAAATTGAGCTTAGTGGTTTTCCAAGTTGAGAATATAGGAAGGTGCTAATGACTAGTTGAAGTTGTCAAGGATTTCATACTTAGGTCAACAACCAGTGCCTGCAGAAGCAACAGTCAAGGAATTAAACGATGTATCACCTTGGGCACATCTGCTGCAAACTATAAAGTATTAGAAAGCAAAGATGTCACTTTGTTGACTGAGACCTGCCTGACCCAAGCTGTGGCCTCTTCATTCACCTCATGTGTGTGATGCTGTATAATGAAGTCATAAGCATTAATGCATGTATTTGTATTTGTGAACAAAACCATGGACTGTCAGAAGAATGAACAAGCCAGTCATAGAAGAAATGTAACAAGAACGCTCTTTAGGAGGGAAGATAATGACACTTCATCTTACTTATTTTGAACATGGCATCAAGGCCCAGCACTAGAGAAGGTGATTGTGTTTGGTAGAGGGTCAGCAAAAATACGGAAACCCTCCAATACCATTGTACCGAGGCAAGAAAATCAAATAACACAAAAGTGGAAAAAATAGTAAAGTTGTCTTTATTCACAGGCAACATAAAGGTCTATGTATAATTCCTAAGGAGTCTATAAGATAATTGCTAGAATTAATCATTGAATTTAGCAAGGCTCCAAGATACAATTTCATTTGCAACAACCAATTGTATTTCTCTGTACAAGCAATGTACAATCAGAAATTCATTTAAAAGCTATACTGTAGCATTAAAAATATAATATCCTTAAGAGCTGTAAGAGTTATTAAAAATTTTTAAATAATAAAAAATGGTTAAGTTACACATTGTTGTCAAAATATAATGTCCTTGAAAGAGGAGACCTCACATCAGCTAGGGTCATTCCTTCAAGAAAGGGGAAAAAGGAGATAGATGACCATCAGCTTGATGCTGTACAACACTGAGACAAGGCTGTGACAAATCAACAGGCCCTCCACAGAAATGGGAGGAGAATCTTACTGGAAAATCAAGTTAAAACCAGGGGAGAGGGGCATCAACATTTCAGAGGAGGCACTGATATTTCTGTTGGTGGGTATGGTGGTAAATGGGGAGGAGCAACCTCACATTGGCAAGCGGTGCTAAAAAAATAACTGTGGGGAACCTAAGAGGAGAATGAAACTGGTTTTATATTCCTGGATTGACACTTCTAATAAATTTCTACCTAACCCTTGGTGAACCCCTCCATGGACTAAGCACAAGGATGACCTTCGATGCTGATCTTAGGACCACACCAGAAGGACTCAACATGGAAGCCCAATTGAACAAACTGGGCCCTACCTCAAAACTAACTTGGACTTAGGACTGAAATTCCGTGATGAAAGAGGAGGCAAAAGATGGCCACCCCAAGACTGTAGAAAGGCCGGCTGTTGGACCTTGGGTGGGACCCACAGCTTAGTGGGCATCCAATGAAAGGGGACTCAGATCTAAGTGTATATTTAATACTGCAATGCTCCACCTGATGGCAGGTATTAATCTGACAGGCAAGTTAAAAGAAATGTTACAGGAAATTTTCACCTAACACCAGCCCCCATGATCACATAAACCAGTGATTCTCAACCTGTGAGTCGTGACCCCTTTGGGGGTTCTAGGACCCCTTCACAGGGGTCGCCCAATTCATAACAGTAGCAAAATTACAGTTGTCAAATAGCAACAAAAATAATTTTATGGTTGGTGGACCACAAAAACACGAGGAACTGTATGAAAGGGTTGCTGCATTAGGAAGTTGAGATCCACTGATATAAACAGAGCTTAATCAATTAACAAATCAATCTTTATAAAAAAACATCTCATGGATTGCCTCTTGCAGCTTGATTATACTCACGTAAAATATCAACAGTGCCATAAACTTTATGACTTTAGATAAATTATTGATGTTATGATTGCAGTTGCCTTATACTCCAGGTGGTGATTGACAGTGTTTTACTTTTTGTTTGTTTATTTGAGGTTTTTTTTCCTTCCCTTTTCATTTCTGTCTTTCTTTGTTTTTGTTTTCTTTGGTGTTTTTTCTTGTTGGTTTTTGTTTTTGTCATAAATATGACTGCTAAAGTAAATCAGAGTTGCTCATGTTTTGTGGACAAGCAGACGGATTCTGGACTGCCACTTAATTCTACCTCCAATCCAAGAACAGTTAGTTATCATAACTGCTTGATATTTATCTGCATGAAGTGAGCACTGAAGGGTGCCCCAGCAAATTGTGGTAAAGAAAGCAGATGGTGCCCAGTTATCAGTTGGAATATCTTAGAGACTTTTGTTCAAACAAGCAACCAACTAGTTCAATGGAACAAGCACATCAGTCTGTATGATCCAAAGATGACAATAACAAAATCCAAATATGATTAAGGGGAAAGTATCAGAACTTACATTATGAACACCACTTTGTAGGAGACTGTGGAGAACAGTGGAAACCCAAAATCCATCTGCAGAGTATCTAGTCAGATTAAACCTATGGCAGATCCCCTCTTGCCACAGGCGAGGGACTCAAACAGCTTTACTATCAGACAGAGACTATTGTAAACTTTGTTATGTTAGGTCAGTATGATACTTGGCCAGTTGACCTCCCTCTTGAACCAACCTAATTTTGCGATAGGCTTAAATATTTCTCCCTTGTTCATGACAGAAATGTCGTTGATGGTTTTTAAAATCTTGTGGATGTTTTTTTTCTTCCTTATTTTTATCTTTATGTTATTATTATTACTCTTTTCTTTCTGCCTCGTTTTGTTTTTGTTTTTAATTGTTTATGTCAGGCTTCCCAGTTCATGAAACACAGAAGAAATAGATGAGTAGAAACAGTAACTGATGCGATGCACTGGTTTATCAGGGATGGGAAGTGGGGGAGAAGGTGAGGTTATGGAAGCAAACAATGAATTCAGAAAGAGAGCGAGAGCGCTAGAATGGATTG